TGAGTTACTAAACAAAAACCTAATTATAAGCTAAATAAAAACTATTCACCAGTGGGATATTGCTTAAAAATTTGTGGGAGGGAAGGGGGGCTACAGTTATTATATTATCTAAAAATGTGATATACAAAATGATTTTAAGAATATGAATAAAAAATGTCACAAATTTAATACTGCCGATATCAATACAAATTAAATAATTATGAATTCAAAAATTTTTCTTATCTATCATTTTTTTGGGGGCTGCATTTTTTTTTGAAAAAATTTCATTCGCCTCGTGATAATTCCTTTTGTATATTTTAATATATGGATCTGGAATGCACTCTGAAGATCCATTAATATTTATGAATATTAAATATGACTTATTTACTTTTAAAATCTCTGTTAAATTCATACAATAAAAACCCCTTTCACCCTAAGCAGTACTACAGGTTAAAGTATACACATAGTTAAGGAATTTTTTAAATTTTTCTTTAAAAATATCTTCATTGATATATTATCAAAGCCCAACAATCGTTTCATATTTATTTAATTTGAATCTTTTTATTTGCTTCTCGCCAATTTTATTTTTGCATAAAGAATAAATTGGATATTTTTTGAATAATAAAATAATTTTATCAAAATTTATTTAAGTATTTTAACCTCGTTTTAATGCTCTCCATTAGACAGGACTGCAAAATGCTTTCTAGAGAAATTGTAAATTGATATTTTTTTAATTTTACTTAGTTTTGGATTTTTTAATGGTATATCTATAAATGTTTAAATTCTGAACAAGGGACATCTGTAAATATTTACCTAATGATATCAAAGTTGTTAAACCTTACTTTTAAAAGTAGCGCGCTACCGCTATAGCTATTTGTCAAAAAAAAGTAGCATGCTATTAGCTACTATTTTTTAAAAGTAGCTTAAAATATTTAGAAATAAATGTTTTATTATCTTGCTTATAATGTAATTGTATAGTATATAATACATAAAAATCAAGATTTATATTTAAATAGTTGGTTTTATAAAAAAACTGAAGTAAAAAGACTAAAATTTATGCAATAAAATTAACTATTTATAGTAATATACATTTTTTATTCATTTTGTTGCATTTTAATAATAAACATTCCCAAGTCTAAAGCGACGATCAGAAAATATAAGTTTCGCCTACTCTCAACGCTAGCACTTAAGGGCAAGGCAGTATTTAATTTTATATACATATTTTTAATAAGAAAAATTATCAAGAATTTTTGGATTTAAAAAACGCGTCTAGAGGATTTTATATTATATCAGTATCCTTTATTTCAAAAAAAATTATCAGCAAAAGTCCTTTTTGTGGTTGTAACTAGGGCATCTTTGTTTGGTATGAGACTATTCAGCTTTACCATGAGCCTATCACATTGATCTTTAACATCATTGAAATTGATATATGGCCAGTTTAGTTTAAAAATGTGATGAATCATAAATTTTATTTATAGGTACATCGTATATCTGGCATCCTATTATCATTTTGAGGGCTAATGCTACATATCTTCTTTTTAAGTCTTAGGGTCTAGCCAATGGCCTGTGGTTCCCAAATAAGCTCTAAAAATATTAATATCAGATTAAATATAAATAAATTTTTACCTTCGGTTATGTGCCCAAATATCTGCCGTGGTACATAAATAGGATATCTCTGACAACTCTGCTATTAGAGCATCTTTTATCATTTCAAAGTTATATGCTATCTTAATCATTAGTGTCTGGTGACATAAAATTGTTGCACCAGAGGATAGGGCTTAAATCGTCATGATAAATGATGGATTATAAACCAAGGAAATTGGCTGAGCTGTATCACTTATAAAATTGACAATAACTTTATCAGCCAGTATCTGAGAAATATTGGCATGTGCAATATTTTAATCAATTTAGCTTGAAATGAATTGGTCTTTTTTGATGTAGTCTCCACTTTACTAAAATTATTATTACGATGTTTTTCTATCTCTTTAAAACTTTTGGTATGAACATTCTTATAAAATATATGCTATTAGAATTTTAAAATGACAATTACCTTTTGGTGTTTTTTGAAGTTATAGCTGCTAGATTTATTTGAGGATATATTTTTTACATTTTAAACAAATAAACTTATAGCCACCTTTGGTTTTTACATTAGTTTGATAATATTTTTCAAATTTTGGAAATGGAAAATGTGTATTTGTGTTATCAAGGACATTTTCTTTCAGGATACCTTCCATATCATTAATATCATCATTCCTGACTCACATACATCGTTTAGATATCCATTTGCTATGACATTTTAAATAATTTACACCATGAGATGATTTAGGTTTATAATACAAATTGAAAATATAAATTTCAAAATTAAGTAATAAATCATAAAAATTATAATTAATTATGATATTATATTTAAATTTTTATATTTTTAAAAAATAGCTAAGCTCAAAAAAAGGAGCGAGCTAAAAAATTAATAATTGGAAAAAGGTAGCTCGCTATTAAAAAAGATAGCGTGTTACAATAGCGCGCTATCTTTTTCAACTCTGCAATTTAAATATTATTGTTAACTTGTTCCTAACGATTTAATTTTTTAAAATATCAGTCAATTAATAAAAAATGGTTCATTGGAAATAGGACATCGAAAAACTTTATAAAAATATCCGAATTCATTATTTCTTTCAAAGTAGATTGATTAATCAACAACCAATGACTTACCTATTTGAAAAATCAAATTTCTAGTTAATCATTTAAAAAATTTAGCTAAAATTGAATTATTTCTTACCTGTAGTGTTGTTAAATAGGCCGAATCCTAATAGTCGAAAAAAATCAGTAAGCTTTGAGGCAAGAATGTATTTTTTTTCAAGATTGAGATACTCTGAGTTTAAAGCTTGATTGAGGTTAGGATAAGTTTTCGCGTAAAAATTAGGTTTAGCCTTCAAACCTTTTAGAATGGCATTTATTACCCCTATCTGCTAGTGACGAATCTCACTTTATGATTTTAATAAAGCAGAAGGGGCGACGATTCATAGAAATTTCTATAAGGGTTGTAATTTTTTTCAAAGAAAATTTATGTTTAAAATATTAATGGGTCAATAATATCTATTTTATAGAATACAATGGGTCGAGAATGCCGCCCCAATAGAGTTGGCGCCAATAAAATAAAAAATGTCATCATTGTCCATTGTTATTGCACCTTCTTCTCCAAACTACCGTTTAGTTTCCCGGAAAATTTTTATCCCTACTTGCGAACATAAGTGGGAGAGATATGGAATTGCGAAGATATTTTCACCATATCCAATGAAGGTAACACTTAAGCCAACTCATGCTTACTTAATAGTCAATAAGTAATAAAATACCTTTATAACATATGGCGCTTATGATTTAAAAACTTATTTTGGTATTATGTTTTATTTTCTTTTAATAATGTTCCCGCGTTAATGACTTCATGCAAATACATTCGTGGTGAAAAATCGCAATTAAGTTAGGACTGATATTAATGTTCTCATAAAATTAGTTATATTATATCACGATTATGATATCCACGTAGAATATATTATCAATAAAACTTAAAATAAGTTCTTAATTTATAGATGATTTTATTTTTAATGAGATTGACATTTATGAAATATTCCTCATCCAATTTACAAATTAGTGTATTTTTTATCATTGCATTCCTATCTAGTTTTTCGATTTCAAGAAATAAATAAATGTAAAAGAAGTTAAAGGTATCATATATTCAAAAAGATGAAATCAAAAATAAAAATATAATATCAAAAAATAACAAAAAGATTTGCACAATAAAAGTTAACAACAATCACTGGAGATCCTAAAGAAAATTTATATTTCAGGCAAAGAATATCTTTTGAGATATGTAAATCTAATTTTATCTCAGCTCTACACCTGACAAAATAATTTTTTAAATCCCTCTCCATTAATATTTTTGTTTATAAAATTTTAAGCAGGGATGTGAAGCCGTCAAAATTTTACCGGGTTCGGTTCGGGTTAAAGTAAAAAAATAGGTGGGTTGGTTCGGGTTCGATTCAGGAAAATATTTTTAAACCCATTGGTACCGCGTTCAGCTCGGGTTTAAGAATTTTTGAATTGATAAAAAAATTATATATTTAAATCATGATTAAAAAACTTGACATAAATTTGGTATAAAAAATAAATTTTTTATTTTATTTATAGGCAAAATATAATTAAAAATACAAAAGTTTACAAAAACTGCCCTATATCTTTGTTTAACGATTTTTAAGTTAGATTTTTAAAATTAACAATAACAAATGTAATAATTTTAATTTTGACATGTTCACTTTCTAATCTTTGAGAATAAGTAAAAAATTAAAAATAAATGGCATAAATGAATTTAATTGTTTAAATTTATTAACATTCCAATAAGAAACTATGAGAATAAACTAAAAAAAATTTAAAAATGGCGTAAATGAATTAAGTTGTTTAAAATATATTAACACTTCTATTATAAAATCTCAATTAAATTATTAATATTTATATTATTTACAATTATACAAATATCTTAATATATGATTTTAAACAAAACACTTACCCGATTGAACCCTGGTTCAAATAAAATTCCCGGGTTGGGTTAGGGGCTTTGAAAATTTTACAAACAGAGTTCAGGTTCAGTTAGAGTTCAGATTTTTTTCAAAAACTCGGGTTTTCTTCTCCGGGTTAGGGTTCGGTTCGAATCCTGATTTTAAAAATACTAATTTTTTAAACGCTTTGAATATTTGAAATTTAAATAAATAAAATGAAATTATAAGAAATAAAATATTTTACTCAGTACCTAAATACGATCAGATTCCAGTTACTTATGCAAAATACCGTATTAGCTACTTTCTTATAAAAAGACTGGCTATCGACTGCTACTCCAAAAATATAGGTAAGTTATTATAGGGCGTTACTTTCAATAGATACTTTAACAGCATTGGTATTTAATTTATTATATAATATTTGCATCCCTTTTCCACTGATTTGTTTATTAAATCAAACATAAAAATTATTTATTATATATTATCTAATTTAAATAATATAATAAAATATTGTTTTATATAAATTAAAAGCATTATAAAATTTAAAATGTTAACTAATATTTTGGGTTATACATAATATATTATTAAATTAGAGCAATTGACATTTGTATAAAAACGTTTAGAAAGTATAAATTTTAGGTTTATAATCTAATATATAAATAATTAATTTTACTAAAAGAAAATAATTATAATTATCAAAAAATGGAAACCTTAATTATTATAATCATAGATTTAATAAATATTATAAGCATCAAATATATATAAATGAGCCATAAGCCTACAAATATTTTTCATCAAATTTAACATATGCAAACATGCTTTATCTTCACATCGCCTTCAACAACTAAGGTATCAATTTTGTCATTAGGGTAAAGGCGATATCTAAAGTCCCAGAAATGCTGACCGTTCACCGCTATAGCAAATGCTTTATCCTAACATGTAATACTATATATCTGATATATTTAATTATAATTTACCATGCAAAAAATGACCAATTCAAAAGTTCCTTTCTCAAAAGGAAAAAATGGTGTATTGGCTTCTTCTACCATCCATTTCCCAGCTTGCCTAGTATTCCGGACAACCATTTTATCACCATATCTTACGTTCATATGAAATCCAACATCGGGTAAAGGCTTGCCTTCTACCGCTCGATCGGTTTGAAGATTAAGAGACCACGTTTTACCTAAAAGTGTACCATCTCCGCTAACAATTATTATTCTGCCTTCTTTTAATCCACCTGGTATAAAGAGTGAAAAGGGGGTTGGCGGATTGAAATTCGGAGGCGTAACAGAGGACATGGCATCCGTCTTAATACCATATTGTTCAGGAATTTTGTAAGTACCACAGCAAAAACCACAACAGTCCACAAAGTATGAATGTATATCATTTTGATATCTTCCGGGCAACTGATCACAAAATATTAAATAAAAACATAGATAAAATTTAGCTAAGTAAAGCATTTTAAAAGCATAGAATTAAAAGCTGGGACTTTATCGTATACAGAGTCAAATTAGAAAAATTGTAGCTTAGTAAGTATGATTCAAAATAGAGATCTAAAAATTAACATTTTAATTCCGCTAAAAGTCCTTTAAACACACTCAAATATAGACAATAATAATCATATATAATGTTAAAAAAAATATGCAAAAATTTCTGACAGACATAAATAATTTTTATTTTATATATCTGATATGGCATCTATGACAAATAAATGTCAGAGACCTGTAGAGATTACAAACCTTGGCCCAGATTTTTAAATTTGATGCTATATATTGTAAATTCAAAGGGTAAATAAAAAATTTGATATTCCAACCGCTTAATTGACATGTCGTTTTTAGACACATAATGCCCATTTTCGAAAACATAGTATATCCTTTCCTTGCTAATTGAATTGAAAAGACATATGTGACTAAGAAACTATAATTAAATTTATTTAATAAAAGATTTGGCACTGCTAGAAATTTCTTTAGGTTCAGATTTGATGCTAAAACTTATATGGCCGCTAAATCCGGACCATGTAGGTGTCCTATAAATGTTATATGATTGTATAAAAGCGATATTAAAATTGATTAAAACATTTTTTTACCGGTGGTTTAAACCATACGTTAATCAAATCAAGATCTCCTTCTATCGCAAGCACTCTGACCCCTTCGGGATTGATACGATGCCTAAATTCAAAAACTGGCTTGCCATTTATTGATACCTATAATATTGAATTATAAACTATTTTTATTTATTTTTGAATTACTCTATAATGGTCACCTTCTAAAAAATAAAATAGTTCAAACATTTGCCCTTTTTGGAAAGGAAAATGTTTAACTCTTTCTTCTTTTCCCCAGGATTTGTTATCATAAGAGTTAATTACCATCACATCTTCTCCAAATCTTAAGTTGTAATGAAAGGGAATATCATCGTCTTTGTCGTACCCCGATTTCAAATTGATATTAATGCTTTGATTATAAATGAGGTTATTGACAATAAATTTTTTTTTTAATAAACAGTGATTTATATGATCAATTTAGGAAAAATACTTTTTGGCATTCTTATGTGCAAATCCTTGAATAAAAATTCCCGATCCATCCATGAGCTTACCAATTCCGATCGGTGCATGATAAGGTACTTTCTAGATTTACAATTATACCATTAATAACATCATTAAACATTCATTACTTACCGGATTCAAAACTGGAGGTGGAGCGACCAACCAATTTTCGCCAGAAAATTCGCCTTCACCCTTTTTTTATAAATAAATTATTTAATATTAATATTTTTAAGCAGCTATATTTCAATCCTAACTCTCATTTTGGCAGTAACTATGGGGGAGGGGATTTGGGAGTGCGGCATCCACACGAATCTTACCCATAAACGAAAAATTTGCTTTTGTCTTAAGTAAATTTGATTTATAAAAAGTATAAATATTACATAAACTATGCTTATATACCCAATTCAGTTACTATTCAATTTAAATATGATATATGCCCCCCCCCCTCCATCAAACATATGAAAATATATCAATGAATATTATATTATATTTATTAATTAATAAATCTTATATGAATTACAAGTCTTAGAACATCAGATTCATTCCATGTCAAATTACAAAATATTCCTTTCCAAACTGTTATACTTCTGAAGATATTAGGGATAGAAGCATAAAAATGCCTTTTTTCAATAATAGGTTTTCATTTATAATTATAAACTGTAAATAAAATTTAGCATTAAAATAAAGAGTTTATTTAATATAAAAAAAATATATTTTAAAAAAATCTTAGTGTATTTTTTGCTCAAAACAATATTTAAAACTACAAAAATTAGAGGTGAATATGACATAATGGGCTAAATCTAGTGTTATTAAAATTTGTGAACTTGTGTTATGAACTAGAGGATTAGTTAAATTATGTATTAAGATTAAAATTATTATCTATTTAGAATCCTTTTATTATAAGTAGTCTTGTTCTTAATCTGCAAACATTGTATATTTTTAATTCTACCAAGACCAACTTTAGTCTTGAACCCAAGTTATTGTTTTTTAGAAATTTAAATGGATGTGGGAGGACTTGCTTATTCCGTTTTTATTGTATAAGCCCCATTTATTCGGTAAAAGCCCTTATATAACTAATCATTTTGCCTTAATGTACAAATATTGTTTATTTTTACTTAGCCTCAGAGGTAGTGAATTAGCATTTTGCAATTATTCTATATAAGGTCGGTAGCTTAGACAGAATATTATACTATAAATTTTTGCCTCAAACATAGGCTATTATAAACTTTTGGTGGCTATGTTATATTTTTATAAAAGTTTTTAATTTTCCATTTATTTTTAATAAATAAAATATATATATATTTATATTCATAAAATCATCATAAAAATAAATATTATAAATATCTGAGAACTGCAAAGGCATTTGCACGGCTAGGCCAGGATTTTTTTTAGAAAAATTATTAGCCCAGCCCAGATTTTTTAAAATAGATTATATTTATTTATAATTTTTACAGATAATGATTTTAAGCATTCGGTTTTAAAATATACGGCCCGGCCCGAGTACTTAAAAAAAATTTAGGCCCGGCCCGGTTCGGGTATATTTAAAAAATTATAATATTCCCCCCCCCCCCCCGGGTGCAGGGTCTCTGATAAAAATAAATATTTTAAAAAATTGTATTTTTCCTATTGCCGTCTTGTTTGACTGGCACCCTTTTAAATAAAGGATTAAATTTTTTAATTTAGATAATATATATATTTTTTAATAATCTCAAACATCTGAAAATTCAAGGTATTAAACTGATACCATCTGGTCTTCCTTCTGCTGCTACTTGATCATAAAAGATTGGGCTTTCGAGTATTTGGGATAATGGTCCTTTTAAGATTAAGTTATATTTGCATGCCATAGGAGGCGGCCTTTGTAACATCTACAATAAATAATTGGTGTCCTTTGGAATCAGATGGTAAAGAATAATTATATATTTGGAAGGAAAAGATATATCGCAACCGAGACAAAATAGCTAAACAAATTTCTTCATTAGTGAGAAGAGGTGCAGATTTTTGCTTGAAACAGCCGACAGTCATTCGTAGCCCAATTTCGAATTCAGAATAACTCCACTGGGAGATTGTTCCAATGAACCACTCGATAAGAGGACATAAATATCTCAAGTTTCTGAAGGATGGATGTAAATATGCTAATGCCAGATTGACAATTGCTCACCCAAGCGTAAACAGCGCTTTCTAGGTAAAGATCATGACCGATAGCTATTAAACTTGAACTTCTTAATCTTGAGGAATAAAAGCAGCAGGAGAGGAGAGGAGCGGAAACCAATCCCGTCATTTTATCTATCTGCAAATTTTATATTAATGATAGCCTCAAGCATTGTACGGATATGCAACTCATGCTTGCACTGGATATCTTTGTAATAAAAGAATGTTGCGATCTCATAGCATATATGATATTGGGTATGATAAAATAATATTTAAAAGAAGGCCTGGTGGGCTGCTAATTCATTTAAAGTTGTGTATTTTTACTAGCTTAGAATAGGTTTTGTCGAAAGGGGTCTTAATTGCAGTGTCACCACAAATTGTAAATCTAAAATGGGTAAGTTCCTGGGTGGAAGTATATTTGAAAGGGAGGATTGGGTTAATAGAATTGTTGAGAGATAATTCTGACTTTAAAATGTTAAAAGATAAACCTATCATAAGCATAAGATTATTAATAATATGAGGAATGGTGTTTATTAAAGAGGTGTCACTGGCTATGAAGCCATCATCTAGCATTTAATAAGGGCTTTAAAACTTAGATCGAATCTATTAATGTTTGAACACCAAAGCAAAATAACGGTGGACCCAATGGGTCACCTTGTTGTATAATTCCAAAAGAAATATAATTTTATCATAGAATTTAAATTAGGTGGATTAGGAGTAGTTATGCAAAATGAATGGTATATTCAAGATAGTTATTGCCGAATATGGGAATAATATGATTGCTCTAAATAGAGTTAAAGGTAGCAGGTTTAAAATTAGTGTGATACAGGATATAGTTTAATAACAAATTACTACTAAGTGATTTATAGTTAATACTATTATGAAAGAAAATAGCTTTAATTCTATCAAGACCGCCAGAAGAATGTTTTAATATGGACTCAATGACCTGTTGAGCTTGAAATTGTGTGATATCAATTGGTACATCGTTTGGCATGATGTAATGTAAAAATCTAATTTAAAAATAAATATGTAAAAATAAGTTTACTATGGTGTTTGTTTAGTCGATCCTTCGTCGTATACAATAAAATAGAAAAAATGATCTTTACATAATATATCACTCGGTTTTAATGTTTTTCCCGATTTTAATTAATATTTGTTATTTCTGAGATGAGAAAAGTTAATTAGAGAACTCTTAGACATTGATAGATAACATTAGATTATATATATAATATATATTATATTTATAGTGTTGCTTAAAATAGTTTTACTAATGTCATCGTCATTAGTAACCTTAGTTATAAATCTAAAAATAAAACTAGAACCGGGCCAAAAAATAAAATTAAAAAACTGGATGGTCAAAAAGTTAATTTTAAATTAGGTTTGGGCATAGAAATAAGAAATATATTAAAATCCGAACTGATTCTAAAAATTTAACATTTGAAGGTCTGCTAGTTCCTTTAAACTGCCCTGCATGAAACTGCCTAAGTCCGATTACCCCGGCAATGAGTTAACAGATGGCGTGGAATAAAAGATTATAATTTTTGCCTCTTGGTACTATCTTACCGCTTAAATTAAACAAAATATTATAACAAATATCATTAAATCAAGTAAGGTTAGGGTTGTGCAAACTAAAAATATATAATAGATGTAGATAAAGAATAGAAAAATTGGGAAAAAAAGGATTCGCATTTATTAATATAAGATAATTATTTTGATGTTTAGTTCATAACTCTAATTCTAAGTTTAAGAACTTAGCTAACTTCTCAAGTCATGGTCTATTTATTCGAATCAAACTTTGCCCAATTTCTCGACTAAATCAATAAAAAAAATTATTTATTGATGGCATATTTTATTTTCTTCTCCTAAATTATTCATAATGTTTCTATATATTTTTTAACTAATGACATGAAATGTTCCTATCATATCATTCTCAAGGCTTGCCACGTGAACGAAGCTTTGGAATGTTTACTAGTTTTTATTGATTTTACCTATGATATCGTAAAGATTACCTCTAATCTTTTCCTATATTTATATAGAATGGTTATAGTAATGTTTATTTAAAATTTTATTAAAATCGAAGCGATCCATTTTTCTGAGTATAAGGTTTTTAAACATTGTTCTGTTTAAAGATGCAAACATAGACTGCATTCATAGTGGAATCCGGATCTGACACGAGTTAACTGCTAAGCGATTTTAAAAATCTGGTTATGAGATCAATTTTTCTTTATTAAAATCAATACTTCTTAGATCATTATCGCGAATAGAATTAAAAATAAAATTAATATTAATATAAAAAAAATCTGATAAAAACGTTTTAAAAATCGATCAGCTGTTAAATCGTGTCGAATCGGATCCCAGAATCCAGCCTTACACTCATAAAAAGTTCATTTTTTATGTCTACCCCTGATATCTACAAAAATATAAAAGCCAGGAGGCTGAAATATTGACTAAATATAGATTATATGAACCACCTATTTGTATAGGAATATTCGTAAATCAAAAAGGGTCGATTGCATCGTGCTCGATTCCCTATTTTAAAAAAATCAAGCAAATTAAGAATTTCATAGGTTGAATAGATCAGAAGCTGCAACCAAGATGAAAATTTAAAAAATTCTTTCCAAGTGCCATGTGAATTATAAGATATTTTATCCACGAACGTCAAATTTGAATGATTGTTTAGTAAAGTAATACTAATTGCGCTTTTACAATTGAGAAAAGGTGTAATGTTGATCCCATACGAATTATAACATCTCTGGGAAGAGTCCCGTTTATAAATTGAAAATTAGATTAATAAATTGTGATTATAGTAGTGTTATTCGTAGATTTTTTCAAGCACTTTTTTAAATAGAAAAAGAAATTTTCTGAAATTATTTTATAAAATTAAAAAATTAAGTGGGGAACGGGGGGGGGGGTATCAATTTAAAAGAAATGAAAGCAAATGGTCTATAAACAATGTAAAATATTATAAAAACAAAAATTCCATCTTATGAGATTTTCCATAGGGGGAGGGGAATGGGAGGGTTGCTGCTGAGAATTAATATTAATAATGTTGCTAATTTTTATTGATGTTATATTAGATAGTAAATTAAAAAACTATATATCAAAAGAGCAATTACAAATTTTGTCTGCAATACACGGACTAAATTAAGAGAAGTATCACCGGCTATATGCAATCTTTTAATACGTTCCACTGGAGATCTGTAATTGTAGCTCGTGTAATAAAAGCCGTTTATTGCTATCTATTATAAAACATTAAAAAATTATATATATTCTAAGGGGGAATAAATGGCGTAAGGTATAATCAATAGTTACATCAACTCACCTCTCATATATTTAACAATTGTGAACAAAATAATAATTTTTAGTAAAATTATCAAGCAGCAGTGAATATCTCAATATAAAATTTATAACTGTCAAAAATATTTGATCCGCTGATTCGATTTAATATTGTTGATTATCGAGTCGAGTTAAATGGCCCCACTAATTTGGAGCGTTTAGTTTTAAAATTATGTTCTCGGTATATGAATTTAAATATTAGTCGTCGAGAAGATTTTTACTAATAAATTCTATTAGTTGTTTGCCTCGAGGCTGCTAGTTAACATCTCCTATTTTATTAGTGATCTCTACAAAAAAGATTTTATTTCAAAAATGGCTAAAATATTGCAAATTAAAAAATAATAGCTTAAATTATTTATTTATTATGTTTATTAAATAACTAAGCTTCAAAGCGATATTAAAAAGAAATCATCAATGTAAAATTATATTTGGCAAGGCTTTGGTACCTCATAAGAATAAAAAAAATGTTATTTTATATTTTATGATTTAAAAAATATTGTATCATTTGCAGATTAATAACACGAATTAATAAAGTAACAACTTAATATTACTTATTTATTTTACTTATCATAAGTTAATTTTAATTATTAAATAAAAAATGATATATTCGCAAATGAATAAATCCAAATAGCTTCTCTATTTCTAAATTACTATAAAATTAGATAAAAACTTAGCGATACTCAGTGATTTAAATATCTTTTCCATTGATGCCAAATTTTCAAAAAATATTATAATTTAAATTATATACATCAAAAAAATGTTGAGAATTATTTTAAAAAATAATTAGATCAGGATAAAGCCTTTTTTAAAAAAATTTAAATTCTACTATCCGAACTGATGACATTTTGGTCATTCTTGGATATATACAATAAAATTAATTGTTTTAAAGTTACCAACAAAGAAAAATTTATAGAGGCCAAAAATAGATTTATTATATCGAAATTTTATTATAACTTATATGGCATTGTTTACTTTTGTAAAATAAATAAAAAGTGGAATGACCGATTTTTATACGTAAAAAATAAAAATAAAATTATAAATTTGAAACCGAAATAATAAAAAATGTTAACATACATAAAATATTTTGGTAAAAATCAATAAACATTAAGAAAACAATAAAATAAATTTATAGATTTTTTTACAATAAAAAAGTGAAGTTATAACTTTAATTATTAACAAAAATTTGTAGCCGTAACATAAGATGCATATAAATTTTTTGGTGATTTTTTTATATAAAAGACAATCTACCTAATTAATTCTAAACTTTAAAACTTTTCTACAATGAGTTATAAAATAATTAAAACAGTGTAATAGTACGATTAATAATTTATAACCAACTTATATTTTATGAAATAAATTATCATTTTATGTAGAATGTTAAAAATATTATTGATTTTTTGAAAATTACCTTAAGATGAGTCCTTGTAACCAAAATGATAATTTCGTATATGTGTCCTTTGTCGAATGGTACGCCACCTTCCCTCTCTTCGTTACCCCAAGAATCTCCTATTTTAGAATTACGCACAATAACATTATCCTCAAAGCGCACATTTAAATGCAAAGCAATATCCTCTTTATCAGTATCACCGTTTAATAAATTAATGGTCAATCTAAGATTAAAAAATAGATAAATTATCATTTTTCTTGTTTTGGTTAAATTTTTAACTTTAAATAGATATACCAAACTTTGTTATTTAAAGTTGAAAATGTTGCCTTTAATAAATTCTAAAATATGTATAATTAATGAAGACCGAGGGTCCGATAATTTAAAATATAACAATTTTTAAAATTAGTTGTAGCTTAAATAAAGACAAATTCTAAAAACTAGATATTTTTAAAGGATTCAACATAATGTTGCTGTTTCACGCCTTTGTCTGTTACCCAAAAAATTTAATCGTGCCCTAAATATGCTGTTTTTCATCTCCAAAATTTATTTATGTCTTTGAATAACAGATTGAGTCCCATCTCGATAAATGTTTTATTCGATAAAAGCCTCATTTTTGTTTTTGAGGTTAGTAGGACTAGCGGTATATTATAAAAAAAAGACTGTGATGAATATTTAATTATGGATTCTTTATTAATCCGTTTAATAAATAAATACTTGAATCTAAGAATAAAAATCTTCATATAAAATTTAAAAAACTATGTTTATTTTAAAAATATATCGCAAGTCATTAAAACCTCAAAATAAAAAATCTGCTTTTATCGCGTTAAAAAAACGTGGACTAAAAGAATCCCTTTTGGGAAATATATTAATTATAAGATTATTTATCAATAAAATTAAATTTATCTTAGATTTTAGAGATGGGGGCAACTTGGGCTAAACAAAAGATTTTTGTGCAAGGCCAGAAAACTTGTGTAAAATAATTTTAGACTGGGTTAAAATTTAGGATATTTTATGGGTCAGGACGGGCATGATTGTGCCGAAAAAGAAAAAGATGGGTCGACCTCTGAAATGAACCATTTCTTGCCGACATTATTTCAAATGAGCAAAATTAACTTTCATTTTAATTTGTGGTAAAGTAAAATTTGTCATTGATGTAGCCGTTGAAAAAAGAAGAAATAAATTTAATATAATATATCAAATATCAGTTATTTTCTGACACGGGAATTAATGTTTCCTTGTGGATGGGAGTGAAACGAGATGATCACATGGGTTTTTGGTAAAGAACAATGAAAGTTTCTTTGTGTGCGGTTTGGAGTGAAGAAGACATTATATTGGATGAAGACGGGATTGATCGGGAAGATTTAGCAATTTAATGATTATCGTTTATGATACATAGATATTTTTAAATATTTGTATGAATAAATTGGATTTAGATATTTGTATGAATAAATTGGATTTTTAAACTATATGGGAACTTGGACTATTTCTAAGGTAAGAATTGAGAGTAAGGGCATTCTTCTATAGTCATGATATATTTTGAATATAGAAAAATTCTAAGTGCAATTATTTCTTTATAATTTTATCAGAAAATAAATAAATCTAATTAAATTATAAACATCAAGAAGCAGAAAATTTATAATAATATATTAAAAAATATCAATGTAATTTTAGCTTTTCGAATTTATTTTTATCTTTGCCTTAAACTATCTTTTTAATTTTGGAGATGAAGGGTTTGAACATGTAGACGGAAGGCAAATGATGATTTGTTAGATGCCGTTGTTTGTAAGTGGAGGGAACAAGACCCAGGGGGCGACTACAGATAAGCTGAATGAAATTGCTAAATGATTACAATAAAGCGTCATGTTTGGGCAATGCCCAAGATCGTAAGATGGTGAAAGACAATTAGAAACGAAAATAGCTTACCCAGGTAAACCTGAAAAGGATTAAACGATGAAGAAGAAGAAGAATGAACATGGTTTTTTAATTTATGGTTTTCAACCCATATAATGGTTTAATTATCTTTCTATATCAAGAAAAGAGTAACAGGAATTTTTGTTTTCCTGTTCCGTTCTGGCCAGAAATTATATGTTCGCATGTTTAGGAACTTGAAAAAATAAGTAATTCAATAGAGATATGATTACATAGGCATTTATTAAAGACATTGTAAAGATTATGATTTACATGTATGTGATAGTGTTAATATAAATTTGAGGTAAAACGCCTTTAAACAGTAACTAACTAAAAATAAAATTATCCCTTGAAATGTATAACTTTTAATTTTTGATATTAATTTTATAACAAAAAAGTTAAAATTTAAATTTGATATGTGTAAAATAATGTCCTGAGAAGCAAACTGGTTTAAATAGAAAAACGAATATTTTATAATTATCTAATAAATTAAAATTTCTCATAAATTTTTAGAGAGTTCCTGGAATAATCATTTTTATTCCATCCTCATTTTTCCATGTCCCTCGTTTTAACTGGATATAGGTGCCAAATATTGGAAATTGAACTTGGGAAAAAATAAGTAAAGACTGACCTTCTAAAAAAATATTATATCTAAAACTCTGTGTTAAGGATTCTATTTGTTGATGTATACTAGTAATTAAGAATATGTGGTGTGAAGATTTCATTTAAAAATATTATTAATTACCCATAATTATTAATCCATTTTATACAACGTTTGGAAACTAAAAAATATCCCTCTTTGTATCACAATTTCAAGAGGAAAGAAAGAAGGTGAGAATTTTATAAGATATTTTTCTTTTACTTAAAAAATATTTGGTATACTAGAATAAATTTATTATCTCATTCTGAATATTTGAATCAAATTTTATTATGTAAAAGATTCCCAAGATTGGTAGTATTTTATCAAGTATCAAATGGTATTTTAAACAAAGTGGTAATGTTAAAAATTCAAATCAAATACAAACATTAAATAGAAACGTCAATGGAAAAGAGGGCTTAAAACACTAATTGATAATTTGAGCCATATTAAGAAGCAACGAGCACTCTTGAGGACAACTGGATGACCAAAACTAGAGGCCTCTCACATGATCAGTAAGAGGTGAGCCGGTGGGTTAAAAATATTTTAAAAACAGGCGAGAAGGTGAATTTAAAAAATGTTTACGGGCATAAATATGAATGCCGGGCTTATATTTATTAAAAAGTAATTTTTTCTTTCTAATATTATATAAGGAAAAAGTATATTAAAATAAATGAAAAGCCAAACTAGCCAATCAAATAATTTTCAATATTAAAATTTAGATAATTGAAGATATTGTTGACATTGAAGTAAAAAGTCACATTTAAATTCTTTTTACACAAAATCTGCTATTTGTTTGATCGAATAAATTTTAATCCCTTCTTTATCCGTTATTTTATTACTAATTTTTACACTACTATCTTTCTAATTATTTTAAAAAAATTGCAGGTAAGCTGATGTTTTGCATTTCTGAATGATTTTTTATTGAAGAGCGTTTAAAGAATTATTAATGGGCTCAATTTTTCAGAAAGAATGAGTGAGCGCGTATATTTTTATGAGTGTAGGGCTAATTTAAAGAACGGGATAGCAAAAGCACCATTTTTATACCAATGGAAGGACGAGAAAATTATTTTCCTAAGTATAGAAGGGAGTAAAAATATTTTATAAAAGAACGGGCGGTTGGGCGTATTAATTCAAAATTAGTTAATTGCATATCTCCAATATTTACATTTTACCTATGCAAAATTAATTATTTAAAGTTAAAATTACAAAATTTAACGAGATTCGATTAAAGATGATCATGGTTTAAATTATGATGTATCATACTTTTTGGGATTTTTGGAGAGGTCACCCTGGATAAATATTATCTTTCCTGTTTGTAATCCACCCCATATTTCTCCATTATAGGGCACTTTCTAAATTGATAAGGTACATAAAAAAAATTTAATTAGATAATATTATATTGATATATATATCAGAGACCTGCAGGCCCGGCCAGGGTACACGGGCCAGGCCGTATATTTTAAAACCAAATATTTTAAATCGCCATTATTAGCTATAAAAAAATAGGGCCGAAATTTTTTTTTAAAAAAAGATCCGCTGGCCGTGCAAATCATGCCTCTGAATATTATTAGGATTAGTTATTAATTGTCATTTTTTATGGATTCAGATCAAAAATATAAAAAAAACTTATAAATTATATATAAGGGTTGGGAATCACATGGTGATAAATCATAAGCATATCCTAATATGATAAAAAATAACTTAAGAAGCCCTCCTCATTTTATTGAAATGAAACATAAATAAACTTAATATTTAAAGGTGTCCGGCTTCTGATAATTTTTTGAAAATCTACTTGGCTTCAGGTGTATGCAGGGAAGATAGAGGAGTTTTTGGGTAAAAATTATGTATATCACAATATTATATATTTTATACAAAAGTGAATTAAAAAAATATATATTTTATTTAAAAAGGGTTAGAGTGAGTCATTGGGATTTGCAATGTATAGATTAATTCTATGTTTTAACCGGGCTATATTTTTTATTGAATTCCGTTATAAATTTTAAATTTATATTAATTTTATTTAAATCGATTTTTGTATTTTCATATTTATTTAAATAATCACGCGCAAAATTATCTAAAATTCAAAAGCAATGCTAGTAAAATACATAATCCGGCATAATCAGATTTTATAAAATAAATTTTAAAAAACGCAAGCTATATAAATATGAATTATATTTTAAAGAATGACCCCTCTTTGATTTTCTTAACAGGCTATAACCAAAAAGTTTCAGTTAAAGGAAAGGACAGAAAATTTTGGGGCCGATATTTTTTGCAGGTTTCGTTTTTTCATAAGCCATTAGAAACAAATTAAAGGTCAGATTTAGGGGCCGTAAAAAAATTTAACCCGCCTCCGATCATGATTACGGGGATGAGTCTTAATTTAATAACTGAATAAACAAATATAGAGGGTATTTTATTTTAAGCGTTTCATACAAATCAGAGAACTGCAGGCCTGGCCCTAAGTCAGGGAACACGGGCCGGGCCGTGTTTTAGTTTTTTAAATAAACCCGAGCCGGACCTGAATTTTTTTTAAAATACCCGGGCCGGCCGTATATTTTAAATCGCCATTATTAGCTATAAAAATTTTAAATAAATAAAATATATTTTGAAAAAATTGGGGCCGGGCCTAAAAATATAAAACCAGGGCCAGGCCGAAAAAAATCAGGAAAATTTTTTTTAAATAAATCCCGGCCGGATCGTGCATATGGTATTTCTGAACTGATACAAATTATATGAGACTTGCAGTAGGAATGAATCGAAATTGGTATGATTTTTTAAAATCAGGGTCGGATATAAATATTAAAAAAAACAAAATACCACGCCACTACAGCTTTGAAAATTTAAAAATCAGGGCCGGGATTTAAAAATAAATAAGCTTAAAATTATATGAATTGGAAAATCACTTTAATATAGATTTAAAATTTCCGTTAAAACAAAACAGATAAATTCATTTACTATAAATAAATTTTAAAAATTTTGGGCCAAGACAAAAAATGATTAAATATAGATATCCGGGCGGGCCAATAAATTTTATAAAAAAAATTATCTGGGCCAGACTTGAAAATTAAAACCAAGATGAGCTTATTGACCTCTGAAAGTTATAAACTACAAAGATACTTATAAATTAACTAGGCACGAAATGTAGCTAATAGTGTTGTTATACAGCCCGATTTGAGTTGAATTTCATAAACGGGCGATTAAAATTTTAGCCAAAATAATATTACTAAAGATTCGAGATTTGGCTAATAAAGGTTCAAGCCTTTCCGACATCTATGTGCAAAATATTGACCAGTTTTTAAAAATAGACCCAAATCTGACTATCTAGTGTATGGTGGCGTTTTGAGGGACAATTTCTTTATGTGCATCTCTCCCTCAAACATTGAACCGAATAATTTATATAAAAATGATTTTCTCTGAATATATATGAAATATATAAATTTTTTTAAAAAATAACCATTCACTATACAACCCCCCCCCCCCCATTCCCCATCGAAATTATCGGTATTAGAATGTATTAACAATTAAAATATCAGATTCGTTGTTAATATATTTAATTTATAACGTTTTATTTATATAATAAGTTGATTCATAATCCTCAAGTTCCTGCAAACCCCACCAGCAAAGACAATTTATTTTTTACAATGTATCATATGCGTCCCAGGATAAGACAAGGAGTGGCGCCCCTTCCAGGATTTATTGTATATAAATTATAATATTTTATATTGTAATTTTTCTTATATTTTTATGCTTTTCCCTACCCCTAAAAATATAAATATGAAAAATGATAAGCTTAGGATGGAAAATCCTCTATGGTTGGGAAAGGATTTCAGGATTTCTATCTGCGGTATTTGTCGAAGAATATGTTAATAAATAAAATATATTAATCTATTGTATATTTTTAGTGTTGCTAAACGGCTCGATTTAAACTGATTTTTAAAAAAAGGCTAACTCAATATTTAAGACAGAAATATGTTTCCTAGGTTTCGAATTTTCGCTAATAGACGTTGAAACCTTTGTGCCAGCTATGAGCAAAATGTAATCGGCTCAGTTTAACAAAACTATATTTTAATCTTTTATAATTTTTTCTCGCATTTAATGTAAATTTATCTTATTTTATCTAATTTATTTATTTTTAATATAATTAATTATTTCAAGGATATATTTTATCAGATGACAAGGTTATCAGTTGGATTTAATGTAAATTTACCAAATTTAAACCTATTATCTTATAGTGAAAATTGAACTGTCAACACAGAGTTTCAAAACGCAAATAATGCATTTCAAATGCATTCGTTTAAATTGGAAGCATTTCCGCTTTGCATTTTAAATTATTTATTAAAAAACATAATATCTTTTTAAACTTTTTAAATTTTGAAGTGATAGCATAGATACAACATATTCTAAAAAGTAAAATAATTATATTAAATGATACAATAATATTTTTAGCTTATGGAATTATAATATTACAAAAAGATTTGCTAATTAAATATAGGGCTAGCCTTTTTTTGTTTAGAATTTAGACGTTTCATATTGAAAAAATAAAAGTTAAAGCTTCAATTTAAACATAGCTGCGTTTACGTTTTTATATTTGCATTTTGAAAGGCTATTGAAACGTTCAATTTGTGAGCACTATATTTTCATTTATTAGGTGGATAACGATAACGATCATTTCAACAATTTAAATAATTTTCCTTATATTTTTTAGGGCTGTACTGTTATTAAATATCTAATAGGATCGGTACCGCGTTTTCAAAAAATATCGTTGGACTTGGATCGATATTTTTTAAAATCATATATTTTTTTTTAATTTCATAATAATAAATTAATGAAAGGAACTAAATTTATTTAAAGCCAATATCACTAAATATTAATTTAATAAAATGTGTTGTATGAATAATATAAATGGGAAGAGATAGTGAAAGAGCTTACCACACGAAAACGTTAAAGCTAAAAAAAAATGTTCAAAAAAATAGCTAAAAATTTTAAACTATTTTTTGTTATATTGTCTGCAATAAGAAATGGATTTTAAAATAACCAACAAGTCATATTTAGATAGTGTTATTAAACGGCTCGAGTTAGCCAATTTTTAAAATCGGTTAACTCAAGATTTTAACCAATAGTAAATTACTTAAGCTTATTCATTTTGCCCATAGATAGCAGAAATATTTGAAATTATAGTGGCAAAATCTTGAGGCTTAAGGCAATAATATTTAGGAGAAAATTTTGATTAGCCCTATAAACACAATGGAGCAGTTTAACAACACTACATTTAGTAACTTTTGGAGAATAAAAAAAAATATACTGAATCATCCATCCATGATTTTTTTTTAAAAAAATAGAAAATATTGATATTATGATATTGATACAAATAGTACGTAAATAAAAATCGGTTTTTAGTAATATCTAAAAATATCGGATCTGATCAGTGAAAAAATTGTGGAAGCTCTAATATTTTTATTTATTTTAATATTTTTGATTATACTCGTATATTTAAAACTATATTTTTTTAATAAAATAATGGAAAATTTCTAAATACTTTGGAATCCCTTGAGAAAACTAAAAAATCTTGAATGAGAAGCCTAAAAAATCTTGGCCTGAAAAGGTATGGGTTAACATTAAATGAATCCTTGATTATAAGTTGGCGATTTCGAAAAATTCCAATTAGTCATTATATTTATATGGGGGGGGGGAGTCTAAGGCGATTCATTAATTAGCCTAGAGGTCTGCAAAGTGATTTTCCCATAACCCGAACCCGAATTATAAAAAAATTAATTTTGTCCGAGCCCGAATTAAAAAAAATTATCAGCCCTACAACCCAATTAAATTTTTTTGTGAATATTATAATATAAACAATTAAAAATTATGTATATTACCAATAAGAGTTAATTTGGTAGCCATAATATAATGAATATTTATAAAGTTGCATTATATTTAAATTGGAAACATATAACTTTTATCAGTTTATATATGTTGAAATACAATCGAATTTAAAAATTATTGCGATTATATAAAAAATAACATGCATGATATAATGAACATATAAAGATATATCAATATCATTATCAATACTATCTATCACATAGATAATAGTGATATATAAATAATAAGGAGTCGAGCTTGAGGGTTTCAAAGGCCCTACCATTCACTGAAAGCTCTCTTTCACTGTTAGTCGAGGAAGCAGGGATAGCCAAGAACAGCGTCCATATCAGTATTTTCACTTGATGCGAACCCCCCTCATAAGCCTATGCCAACCCCCCATATTTTTTAGATCATGAATTCAACTAAAACCCCCTCATTAACAATGAATGCATCATCATAACATATTGTTTGGCATATGAGTTTGCTGAGAATGTATAACCCTTTTAAGTAAATTTAAATAGATAGCAAAAAGTTTTATTTGGAAAATAATGTCTATGATTGTTTGCAATATATAGATTTGGTCGATGATCATCAATATCATTGTATTACCCCCCCCCCCCTCCCAAATAAATTTATCCAACCACCTTAAAGGCGTCTCCCTTTACTCCCTTCAATAAAAATTGGATATGTAGACGCTGGTCAGGAATTTAAGAGCCAAGCCATTTAAATTGGGAAAAGTGGTTTTGATAAGTCTCCACCAATTTAAGATATGGTAAACGGATGTCATGTAAAATAATAATTGAAAACATTATGAATGGTTAGAAGTTTTGCCCAGCTCAAACTTAGGACTTCTCTAAACAAACGAAGAATTACGTTGTAAAATACTGGCCAACTCCACATGTACATTATGTTCCCAACCCGTTGATTGTTTTGGACATCATCCTCTTCATTGTCGATTCTCTAAAGGTAGACATTCTCGACACAGTGCAGTTAACGGCACCATTCTCCGTGCTCTACGCTCAGCTCAAATTCCAGCAACCCTTTAACCCTGTGGCCTCTCAACCGAGAATAATATACGGCCAGATGGGCTGACATTAATACCATGGAGTAATGGAACTCCATTAGCATGGGATTATACTTGCATCGACCGATTTGCTCCCTCCTTTAATAACAACTCATTCGTGCGAGCTGAAAACTCTAAAATTAATAAATACACTTCCCTAACCAATTGCAATCTTATACCAATCGTATCCGACACAACCGGTTTTTTTGGCAATCATGCCCTAACCTTCTTCAAATCTCTTGGTAAAAAAATCCGCGCCATCACTGGTGACCCACAGGAAGGCTTCTATCTCAGACAGCGCATATCTATTGATATATGCAGATATAACTGGATTGCCATCCACGGCTCTCTTTCTTGACCTCCTCCCACCCGACATACAATTTACTTCACTAATTATTTTTTTTATTATACAGTTTTTTTTATATAGATTTTAATTTTCAAATAGTTTACATGATATTTTTAATATATATTTTTAAATTACGTATATATGTTTTACTTTTAACGTTCATATGTATGAAGAAATTGGAATTTAATTCTCCTTTAGGGTTTAGTATAAACTCAAATAAATTTAAGATTTGTTAAAAAAATAAAATTAAAATGATTATTTAGGATATTTATATTTATTTATCGGTTTGAAAAAAAAATCTTTTTTGTCCGAATCCGGGCTCGGGATAAGGGCAGCTCGTGCAGACCTCTGATATTAGCTATGGTATTTACCAAAGCTTAAAAATTTCCAATAAACGGACAATCCTAGTGGTCGATAACTTTCCCTTTTAAGATGGTTCATTTTTTAAAAATATTTAAAGAAAAGGAAATGGTCTATAAAATAAGCAAAAAATGAAAATTATATCTAAAATTAGCCAAGGCATAAATTTGCAAAATAAGGACCGTATCAAAAGCTCCTTAGCAACGGAGCGAAGGGGCCGGGCCCAGATCTGTTTCTAATGGCTTATAAAAGAAATAATCTAAAGAAATTCTGGCCCTCAAATACTCCCCCCCCCTCCTTAAATGAAGTTTACTGGCTATAGGCTTGCATATCTAAATAAAAATAAATATTTTTCAAGGGGTACTCCAAAGTTTTCAGAATGAGGCTACTAGATGATCCCCTCAATGGTATATATATACATAAGTCCTGACTTCGCGGTGGTAGCAAGGCTCTTACCCCCATCGACAAATGTCGGGGCTGCGCCCTCCATAAAAAAATATATGTTAATTATAATATCTCATCTAAAAATGAAAAAGGAGAAATAAAAGATATTAAATATTGCATTATTTCAATATTAAGTTCTTTCGTCTCCCATCTTTCGTTGGGCCCCCATAAAAAATAGATTAATTATTATATCTCATCTCTCTGTGTTATGATGGGGTCTCTAACGTTAGTGAAAAGATATCTGGTTTACAAACATCTTAATGAAAATTCTAGATGTACATTGTGATTATCATATATTAAATCTTGTGGTTCATTTAATACTGTTGCAAAAATTCGCGATTTTATAGTATTAATGAAATACATATTAACTTTTGTTCAAGATATTTCGTTCCATCCAAGATGAAAATGATAAACTTCATTAAAGCCATTATTCTCTATACATGTAACTTGAATCAGTAGAAAGAAAACATAAAACATTAGAATACATTTCGCAGTGAGGTTGGTACAAAAGTAAAAAATTTATTAGGCAAATAAAGCTATTTGAAAACTTTTTATTTCTTAAAATGATAACAATATTTGAGAGATTAGAAAATTTAAATGCGATGGTATGATAGATTCGAGCCTTCTTCGAATCTCTTTTTTTTATCGCTTTAAAATTGGCTCTAAGTTTAATTCATTTGTTTAATTTCTCCAAAACTTTGGAAAATCTTGTATATCATCTAGAATTTTGATAAAGATTTCTATTTTATATTTAGCATTTTAAGTACATTATAGATAAATATATTATGAAATTCTAGTCATACAATTGCAAGTAAAAAAAATCGTTTAAACACACGAGTAATGGATCATTAAATTAATAGGCGCAATTTACGATCCATAAACTTGATAGAAATCATGTTTCACTATTCTATGAAGATTCTTTTATTCTTCATATGTTATTTTCTTGGCACTACCAAAGTTGGAAAAATAGATATTAAACTCTATAGAGGACGTCATAATCATAATGGAACATATTTCTATTTTTTCAGAGTATGTAAAATTTATTAAAATTCAATTCATGTAAATGCTTGTCTTGTTCTGCAGAACGATCATTTTCAAGATTAACACGTGTTAAATCCTATTTAAGTTCTACTATGAAACATGAACGACTTAATCATAGGGCAATTTTAAATGCGAATAAAGAAGATGCTAAAGAACTTGATTAAATGATAATGAATATTATAAATAAAAATTAAATAAAGAAACACATTTTACCTAAAAAAATATATTACATCATTCACAAAAAAATAAATAAGATTAAATCTGAGAATATTAATAAATTTATATGTAAAAATTCATGTTAAAATGCCTTAGAATTAGGAACAGGAGAAATAAAATATATTAATTTAGATAACAAGTAATTAATATTACGTTATTTAAAAAAACTATTTTTAAAAATGACAATATATTGTAGATTATTTGCATACTATTTTACTATAGAATAAAATAATTCTTACTGGATTTATAACAGTATCCTTTGATTCTATGGTCATATTGATAAGAATATAATTTAATAAATTAATTAAATATTGGTCAAGTAAAAAAAATTGTATAAATAACTAAAAAACTTAAGTAAATATCAAAAAATAAATAATATAATATTTGGCAAGATCTTATGAGTAATGATAAAAAAATTTAAATTTTGTTTTTCTTTTATTAATTTATTTTTTAGCTTATTTTCTGTAACATTATTATTTATATTTATTATTATTTTATTTATTTTATAATTTACCTATCTCAAAAAAATATCTAAAAAATGAAATTTATCGTTATTTTTTTTGTAGTGCGATAAAATTTTTATTTTATTATCCTACACTATACTATCGATTTTAAAATATAAATAAAATACTTTTAGTTCGACCCTAGGCTCGATTTGGTAAATTTCATAGCCAAATATTACCTTAGCCCTAGATTTTGTCAATAGATGTCCAAAACTTTTGCTATCTCTGAACAATATCTTCAAACTTGGGTAAGATTTTTGGTTATAATCTTAATAATGGTTTATAAAAATCAAAGATTCTAAATTAAATAATACTACAGTAAGATCTTGTAAAAGGCCAAATCGGACTAAAAATTATCACTAAATATTTAAATAAAGTAACCCATGACCGGAAAAAAAAATCTATAAATTTATAATATAAGTTAAAGTCATCGCGTGTTATTAAAATATGAGTCATTACAAAAATTTTGAAAGACAATTCATATTTCAATACAAGTTTTGATAATTAAATTTGACTTGTCATTGTGGGTAACTAAAGATTAAATGATTTGATATTTTATGAATATATATTTTGAAAAAAAAAACTATTATTAAGTCTTGAATTAATATAATTCTTATAGTGCGTACAAATTGAGCTTTTCAACGCTCCGTTTTAAAAGCAAATAATGCATTTTAAATGGTGTTGTGCAAATTGGATTTTTTTACAGCAAGCGTTAAAAAAAAGCAAACTAGTTTGATTTTTTTATGCGTTTTTATTTCGCGCCAATATATATTTTTAATTTTATTTAGTGATTTTATATAATTATACATATTGTAATATATTAAAAATATTTAATAAACTTTTTTAAATTTTAAAATGGAAACAAATGCGGAATTGTACGTTAATTATTTTACATTTATATAATTATTATATCTTATTTAGAGAGTGGGACGACATAGTGACAAAAAAATTCTGTGCCTTATTAGAGAGTCAAGAAATGGTCTGGAATCAGCAGCATCCAGACCATAAAAATTCTACATTAGTGCTAAATGGTTTATCATCCATTAGCCAAAGGTATAAATATATATATAAGATTAAAGAAATTATATTTTTAATAGCATGGAAGTTGAATTTCCTCAGCATGATACAACTGTGTCATGCATAAAGAAGAAGATGAAGAACTTCAAGGATTTTTATTAAAAATATTTATATTTTTGTAATATTATTGTAAATATATATATTTATATATAAAATAAAGTAGTATTCAATATTAATAGTGTCCATTTTTCAAAAAAATATATAAATGAGCTAACTATCATTTGGCATTTTTATTAAAATATATAATTTTTTAATAAGATAGGATATCAAATTATGATAGAATGTGATTGAATTAACATTTATGAAAATCTAATAAATAAAAATATCAGGGATATCATGGTTGGGAGAATTGTAAATTTAAGATTAGTAAGTATATATATTATAAATTTTGAAACAATATATAGAGATCAAAATTTAATGCCTTTCTAGGAATATATGCCAATGTTTATCACAAGCCCTTTGCAATTTTTTTTAACCATAGTTTAGGCAATATTATCTAGAAATTAATGTAAAAAGAATAATAGTGTATGATTTTTTAAGATATTGACTATTTATATAGAAAATATTTACTATGTTTTATTGAGCTAATTTTTTGACATCACCTTATGTGATTATAATAGAAAAATTATTATTCAAAATTTATTAAGCATTTTTATTAATATATGTAGATTATAAATAAAAATATATTAAGATAAAATAAATATATAAATAATAATATAAAATCATTTATGAATTTAAAAAAATTTTGAATGAATTTCTGATATTCCTTGCTTCATTAGATTATGCATTATTGTCCCTAATAACAGACATAGGTCTTACATTCAAGTTCGTGATATCTGTAAATATATTTTTTAAAATAACAAAATATAGATTTATCCAATTTATATTAAATATTTTTTAAATACCTATCTGATCAACATCATCAGGTAAGCCCTCCAAGGATATGATAATGTTGTGTAAAATACATATACACTTAATTGCTTGTTGAAATTCGTCACCTTAGGTTGTATATCGTCTTTTATGAGATTCAGAATATAGGAGAAAGTCGTTCTCCTCCTCCTTGTATAATTGAAAAATTGGGATGGAGTAAGATCTGCTTTTATAGTAATATACTCTGAAAATAAATTTCTCTCCATAAATATTTTTGAGGTCTTCCTTCTTGTCTTCGTAGATTTCCTTCTTTTTAGTAAATATAAAGCAATTAGTTGCTTATCTTGTAAACTAAAAAATTCCATATTGTTTAATAAAAATGTTTTCAATTTTAAAATAAAGAAAAAACGTACTGCTTTCAATTTAAACACAGATGAGTTACGTTAAAAAACGTACTGCAAACGCAAACGTTCAATTTGTGCGCACTATTATTTCACCTTAAATCTGAAAACTGATTTAAAATTTTTTAGAGGAAAGTTAAGATAAATATTATATTTTAAATTATTTATCATGATCAGCCATAAAAAAAATAATTGAGGGGGGGGGGGGGGGTAATGCGATAGGGCAAACCTAAGGGTGGTTGACCCTATAAATTAAATTTTTTCTGCCTGAGCTCGGCTAGGCAGGCCTAAAATTTTAATTTTGAGCACGGTCTGGCCCAAAATATTTTTTATTTTTAGGCCTAATCCCGGCTCAAGATTTTTAACTGAAAAATATGAATTAAACGCATTCTTAGTTAAATATAATAAAAAATTTCAATAATTCTAATACCAAGAAATTTTAATTGTTTATTTTAATTAAAGTATGAAAACATTATTTTTTATTTTTTTTAATATAATTTTTACATAATATTTAAGCATGAATCTGCCTCGGCCCGATTTAAAAAAAAAAATTTAAACCTGAGCCCTGCCCGAAATTTATAGGCCCGAACCAGGCGGCTTGGTCTTCGGGTGGTTCGCAAAGTTCTAGGGCACAACTAAAATTTTACATGCGAGAAAAAAATTTAAGATACATTTTTGTTGATAACCAATCAATACATATAGTGTGTTAACCGGCTCGTTTTGAGACGATTTTAAAAAAAGTCTAACTCAATATTTTATCTAGCAAGTCTTAAATTTTGTTTATATGGCCAAAGGTTTAAACATCTATTAACGAAATTTGAAGACAGGTAATATCTTATTAGCAAAAATATTGGGTAAACCGTTTTGTAAAAATCATCTCAAATCCAGCTGTTTAACAACCAAATGTATATAACAGCGTTAGAGTAAAAATATAACTATATTTTAAAAAATAAGACACGCTATTTTACAAAAAATCAATGCATATGACTTTAAGAAAGCATGCGAGTGTGGCGAAGTTGAATATATTTTAGATCAGGACATGATTTGTGCTAAAGTGTGATTATTATTTTATAAATAAAATGTCTTTTATATTTAGTAGACTACATTTTTAATTTACAGCTACGATATCGATCTCGCTCTTTTTTTGAAAATATTGCTTATAACATGTTTTTAAATTTTTTATGAGGGGTTACCAAACACGACGCCATTGAATCAAATAATATTGTCATTAGACATATGCCCCGCCCACTGGCCGAGGTGAAAATCTTCTTAAAATAAATTAAAAAGCCGGACCATGTCTCGTTTTCATAACATTTTTATACACATTTTCTAATTATATAGTATTTCTTTATAAAGAAAAGGTTAGCAAAATAAAAATAATATTCAATTAAACAGATTATTTTAAAATCCACTTCTACACTCCCCCCCCCAACCATTAGAAAATTTCGGGCAAGGTTGGCTTTTAAAAATGTATTAAAGAAAATTTCGGTCTGGGCTTCGTGCAATATTTTTTTTCCGCGTCGAGCCGGTTGCTAGCCGGGCCGGGCAACTTATCCAAAATGTTTAACCGGCCGGGCTTGCAGACCCCTGCGCCATATATTCCCCCACCTAAGGATCGATATAATTTTTATTTGTATTAGCGTCTACGATTTTAAATACTTTTTAATAAGTGTTTTTTTATTATTATGTGAAGGTCTTTATATAAAGATGCTCAAATTTAGTACTCATATATATATAATTATTTAAGTCCACCAAAAACATCCCTTTTATCTGACATCTATATTTTTATGTTATTAGCCCGTTTTTTGATCTGTCTCCCTGGTTCGCTAAGTTAATTGTCAGGCGGTTTAATAAAACATTTTGAACAAATTTCTAGACAGGCAAATAAAATAGGTGCCTGAATAATGTTTTTCCTATCCCACTAAAATATTTGCAATTTAAAAAAAATCTATAATAAAATCGCATCTGGTACATATTTAAACTATTTATAACAGTTAAAAAAATTAATCCGGATAGGGCCCATTATTTTTTTTTTACAAAATGCACGGTCCATTTTTAAAATTTTATATGGGCTAGTTAAAATTTTATTTGGCTGGTTATGATTTTTTAAGGACTTGCAGGACTTACGTTATTTCAATAAATTAAAAAAACCGTAGATTGTAATAAAGTATACAAAAAGGATAATCTTTTAAAAAGGTGGCTAAAAAACCCTTGCAAAAGAAAATACATCCTAATATCCCTTAAAATTTGTTGATTTTAGGAACCATTGATATTATATAAATTTAGTGGAAAATATTAAAAAATTTCAATTAAGGCGAACACATGTTTTGTTTTGATTGTTTACAAAAAAATTGTTAAATAAACTATTCTTAAAACGTTCTTAGATTTAGTAAACGCTTAACAAAAACCATATATTATGTACATGATAAAATTTTTTATTAAAAATATCATGTTTTTGGAAAATATGGTGATAAATAAATAACATTAATATTATCGTATCACCTTATTTTTAGGAATAAGCCTAAATAATGGTTCAATCTTGAGGGATATTCATCTTTAAAATTGATTGATTGAAGGTGATTTAAAGCTACTTGAGTATTCTTAAATAATATAGTTGTATGTATACCATATCAAATCAACTGAAAACTCAACCCGATCTTCGATTTTTCTTAAAATTTACATGATGAAATATTATACTAACTAGCAAAAATATAAAATTTTAATTCCCAACTGTGCTTACTTCCTGAAATATGACCATCTTTAGAAACACGAAAATTCAAAAATACATATTTAACTTTAAATATCTAAATAAATAATTAAACTCAAACCATAATTTAAATTTTATTAAATAGCTCTATAATAGCCCTTTAATATGATATAAACTATATTATATTGAAAATAAGTATTACCAAAAACTGGAAATAGAAAGGAAATATCTATAAAAAGAAAACTGATATAATTTTTTTTTTCAGTTTTTTTTAGGTAGACATTATACTTCCTTATATTTGTGCAAAATTTAGATTAGGTCAAACACTGGTATAAGAGCTTTCGCACTTAAAATTTTGGTCATATGGATAAAATCGATAATAAATATCATTTATTTTTTAAATGTGTAAGAGACCAGGGCTAGTAAGCGAATTTTTTTTCAAAATCTTCTTAGGCCCGAAAATAATTTTATTTGAATTTACAAAATACCGTGAGATAGCCTAAATACTTGCCTAAAGTTAGACATTGATAAATTTCTTAAATATCTTATACTTTTATCGATTCTAGTAAAATTAAATTTTTGCGTCACCAAGCCCCAAACCTGAGGCATTTAGATTCAATTAGTTTATTACAAGGTTTCCCACTCAAAAAAGGAAAAGTTTCAATCATAAAAGGAAAAGGTCCAAACAAAAAAGGAAAAGTGTCAATCAAAAAAAGAAAATTCCCAAAAAGAAAGGAAAAAGTCCGATCAAAAAAGGAAAAGTGTCAAACAAAAAAGGAAAAGGTCCAATTAAAAAAGGAAATGTGTCAATCGAAAAAGGAAAATTCCCAAAAGGAAAGGAAAAGTGTCAATCAAAAAAGGAAAATTCCCTTTCAAAAAAGGAAAATTGTAATTTTTTTTAATTTTTTTAAAAAAAATATTTTTCTTAAATTTTTTTTTATTTTTGTCATTCCTTCTTATTTTATTTCTAACTTTTTGCTATTTCTTTACTTTATTTGTATCTTTTCTGAATTTATTTTTCATACTATATCTTTTCTCAGTTTTTTATGTATCTTCTCATTTTTGATAATTCTTTTGTATTTTTAAGAATAATTTTTAAATTTAGGTTCATTTTTTTAACAATTCTTTACGTTATTTTTTCATCATACATATGTCGTAATTTTTAAAGGGATCATA